GATATAATCCGACAGATACGAAAGCTGCTGTCATCCGTCTGTGCCTGCTCGCGCCGCCTTGGGCTCCTTCCTGCTTCTCGGCACGGGCGCTCCAGTACTCCTGAAGAGCAAAGGGCCTCGGAAGCTGGTCAGCAAAGCTCCCCGGAACTTGTGCTTCGAGACTTCGAGCCAAGCTCCACTGCCTCACCCACTCTACTCTTCCTGTCCGTTCCAGTTTCTGCATGCAACCTTCTTGGATGGTGAGCTGCAGACTCTACGAAGCAGTGAGACAGACCAAAGCTGCAGAACATATTTCAAAGGCATGAACCTCAGGGGGCCGAATCGGGGGAACGGAATCAGAGACCAGCAGGGTCGAATCAGAGACCAACGGGGGCGAATAAGGTGAACAGAATCAGAGACCAGCCGCCAGACTCAGAGATCAGCCGCTGGAATCGGAAACCAGGAAAAGCCGAATCAGAGACTAGGAAACCTAGATTCAGAGACCAGGAGAGTTGAATCGGAGACCACCCGACACCACGGACCTGAACCGACCCAACAGATCCGACCCATACGACCCGACCCGCCAGATCTCACCCGGCCAACCCGACCAACCTAACCGACCCGACTCACCAGGACTCACTTTCCGGACCTGACCCGACCAACCCGACCCAACCAACCCCGCCCTAACTAACCCGACCCGACCGACAAGCTGAAAGTTCGAACATTCCGTGAGCCCCTTCGAACGCATCCGAGTAACGAAGACCTGACCAACCGGACCCGACGAATTCCGCCGACCCGCCCACCCCAGCAACCCAACCGACCCGCGCAGCCCGACCCCAGCAACCCGACCCTGTCTAAGCATGCATGGGTCCTTTGCGTGGTCTCGGTTTCGACCCTCTGCGGTCTCTGATTCGACCCCTCCTGGTCTGATTCGAGCCTGTCTGGTGTCCGATGCTGCGGGGCTTGATTCCGGAGAATGGTCTGTGATTCCGATTTCTGGTCTCTGATTCGGATTTGCGGTCTCGCAGTCTGGTTCTGTGGTCTCGGATTCGACGGCGGTCTCTGATTCGACCCTCTGGTCTCTGATTCGTATTTTTCCTGAACCTCAAAGCTCTAAGTTCCCAGACTCGCGGGCAACTGCAGCTGCATCATCGGCGGCTGTGAACTCCTCCTCCTGGGTTACCTTAGCAGAGGTTTACACTGTTCCTAAAGTGGAACTCTCAAAACAGCGCTTAACTGGGGGGTCGTGGAGTTGATAACTGATACCGCATTTGGCCTTAAATGCCTGCGCTAGCTCCTATGTAGCGTTGCATGCTGTACAGGACTGGCTTGTTGACGTGAAATTTGACCGAGATGACTGTGACACACAGCATAAGACAAACACAACTGCCAAAGCGGTCTTGTCAGGGGCATGTGTTGGATGTGGGATGTTGAAACGAGCAATGTGGTGTCTGGCCCAGGGCTGTTTTCCAAAACTGCAGGGGCGAATCACCTGCTCACAATGCTGCTTGGGTAGAGTCAGGTAAGTCACCGTGGGCTTCTTCGAGTCCGTCTCCATCGCAATCTTGAGCAGCTTCAGCTTGCTGACGGCGCTTTCGAAAAAGCATTCCTTGTACATGTGAAACACGTGTGCCAAAGCAAAAGTCTGCGTCAAGCTCATGGCCATAATGTTAGTCGGGCAGCAATTTCCAGCTGCAACGCTTCAAAGGCTGCATCTGTCTCTGATCCGGCTTGCTTCCGATCGCCTGTCGCAGGCTTTCGAGTCCGTAGGATTGTGCAGGAGCAGACAGAATATAAATGGAAATGCTGGTGTCGGGCGCCTTGTTTATAGCGATACACTCTACTTTTGCGCAAGCACTGCCTTCCATCACTGCCGCACTCCCATCATTCCATTGCTCGCCGACGCAAGGTGACTCATGCCAGCAGGCAACTCGCAAAGGTGCTTTCTGTTCCGAGGACTATGGGGTCAAGCTATCGCACATCCCGAGATCATGATGATCATGTTGAAGAGGGGCAGCTTAGGACAATGATCACACAGTTTAAACATTGTGGCTATATGTTTCGTGGGTCTAGCTGTTCCTTAGCATCTAAATCGCAACACTCTCGAACCAGGAGAACCAGGAGCACGCAGGAAGCTTGCAAGGTGGCAAAGCACATGAAGCGAGCTTCCTCCTGGTGGCCTTGGTGTGTAACAAGAGACACTAATGTAAGCGTCGTTCTCATAAATAGGGTGGCAATTAAAATATTCTTCGGGCCAGACTTTCCGGGCGCAAGAAGACTTTAACTTGCGGAGAGACTCCAGGCCAGATTAGGCCAAACAATTCATATCAAGGTGTGGGTGATGGTCGGAAAAGCGGCGACAATTAAACTATTCGGAGTCCAAAGCCCTAAAAAACCTAGGATGCGGTCGAGTAAAAGCTTAACTTGAGAGAACAGGAATCGAGGAAGAGAGCCGTAGACCCTGAACCCAGCTGGCAAAGTGCAGTTCCAGACAGCTGCTGCAGGCTTTGGCAAGAATATGCAAGAAGCCAGGGACTCCGGATTCCCGGAACTGCAGCAGCTAAACTTGAGGCCTCTGCTTGACTAGAACCCCTTATAAACGGAGACGTTTTACAAAGCCGGCATGGGTATCCCTCAGCAACCTCGGCTTTGGCAACTCTTACTACTATCTATTCTTACTACTTGCTACTATTACGATTACGACTGTTGTTATTATTATTTGTACTACTACTACTACTACTACTACTACTACTACTACTACGACTACTACGACTACTACTACGACGACGACGACTGTTACTAGTGTTATTACTGATTCCAGACACGGCCAGAAATTCATTATTGCGACCCAACGACCCCAGACCTGAACCGATAGCCCCGCCGGCAAAACAACTTCGATGGGGGAGTATCATGATCCGACCCAAAACCATTATTGCTTACGTAAAGCCGCGATCCATTTCTCACAGGTGGACACTGTACCCTGAGCACCATCACGAGCACGCCCTTGTGGCACACCGCGGAAATGAAAGCTCTTCATCAGTCGAGCTCCAGCTATGATAACCCGAACGGGGGTGTTCTGTAGCAGCTTGACACAGAGTAGCCGCATGACATGGGTTCTCGGCTGTCGAAGTGCCGGCAGGGCGTCATTCAGCTTTGGTTGGATCTATCGGCCACCGTCGTTCCTCAGAATTCTGAGTTTGTGCAAATGCCGTGGACTGCGGGACCTTCCCGAAGCAGGGCTGGGCACTCTGCAGTCCGTCTGTCTGTCTGTCTTTCTGTTGGACGTAGGGGCTACATGGGGCTACTGTCGCTTTCCTCGGGCCTCTTTTTCTGTCTCTCTCCCATACAGGTACACACACGCAAGCATTGGATAGCAAACTTCAACACGAAGGCCATGCCAAACCACAGTTCTTCTTAATGGCGCACAGCGTCTGCAAAGGTGACCAGCCGTTTGACCATTTGCACATACTTCCGAGTTGTCTCATCCTCAGTCATGACGAAAATATTCGGGTGGTGTTGTTGCGGGCTTGCATCCCTCAAGTCTGGGTCTGCGGCATCCAGAACATGTGCTTGTGCGCCCTCTCCGATCTTGTGACGATTTGCTCGGTCATGGAATGTGACGAATGTTACCTCCGACGGGCGCTGCTGGAACGCATAATGGTCGCCTTCCTCCCACTGAGCCTATCCCCGAAACTGCACTGCAAATGGGAGCCGTGCGCCCATGGGCCATGGATGGTTGCCGATTGCCAAGCGCATGTATGCCTCCAGACAGACCCCATTCGCTCGCCAAGTGTCTGAGAGCAGCCCATGACGCAAGTCGAAATATCGGGTGGTTCCAGCAGTACTGAATTACAGCAAGCATAATCGCAGCATGCAGGGCATGCTTCATGCAATGATGACTTTGACACGTCGGAAACATAAAGACTTCCAGCATTTATCCTGTAAGCCTACCCCAACCTCCTTGGCAGCTCGGTAGCTTCGGTTTCCACCTTCGAAGCATGCCACACAATGTCGACGGCTGCAAGCCAATCTTGTCGATGTCATGCACAACCAGCAGCCCTACTCGCTGCAATGCCCAGGTCTCTGACATTGCTCAGCAATCTCTGCCAAAGAGAAGGTGACACCGGCATCCACTTCTCCATCCTGGACTGGTGCAACACGGAAGGTCGAGAAAGAGCCCAAACCACTTAATCAAGTCTTAATTCAGCTAAAGGTATAGTAGGGGCCATATCGAAGCAAACCCAAGCGGACACATCAGTGTCGCTGTTCGCAGCGGTCGCACAGATCTCAGGCAACTGTCAACGGCAAGGCATGAGTTGATGAGCGCTGCAACTGTAAGCCTGAATCCGTGCAGCTGGGTGCTTTACTCGTAAGGCCCGGCGCAGGGGCTTCAAGTACTGTTTCCTGAGAGCAACAAGAACTTCTTTACCCTCGAAGTCACTCCGGGAGCTACTCAGTGCGTTGGCAGGTCCCAGATTCTTCACCTGGGGCCATGGCGACTGCCGGTATTGTGCCTGAGGTGACAACAAAAAAGCTCACCCACTGACTGCCTGTCGCTGTCTGAGGGCTCGGGTTCGCCCGCCTTCTCCAGTTTGAACGTTTGCTGCTTCTCCTGCTTTGATATAATTGCCCAGTGAAAGCTGCCGCGGTCTAGGAGTCTAGCTGCATGTCGTCAACCACCCAGCTTGCGCACGCAGCAGAATGACGGGACGCTTGCATTTGACAAAACTTTGTGGGCTACTGTACCAGTTCTACCAGTTCGAGCACCTGCGTATCGCTGCATCAAAACCCCCGCGAAGGCCAGTGGAGAACTGTGTCCCGCTGTGGCCTCTGCGCGGGTCAGGGATAATAACAGATGCATTCGTAGCACCGTGCGAGAGCACGGCGAAGCTGTACACTTTCAGATGTCGCTCTGGACACATGCAACAGGTAGGAAAAAGACAACCTCCTGAGAAGCTCAGGTCTTGCTGCGAATTATTTGAATTATATTCGGGTCCACACTGCCGTCGTTGCAGTCAGAGTCACAGACCGAATAAGTCGCTGAAGGCGTAGCTCAAAGCCATCAAGGCTAGAACTGCCGCTCGACGTGGGGAAGAGTAGCGCGCAGCGGACATGGGGCTTCCAATCCTGGCTCCAACACAGGTGAGGCTCAGCCTTGTGGTGCAGGCCTGACCTGGTCTTTCCGAAGCTGAGCTCGCAGCATGACTGCCTTTGGAGGCGTTGTGCTTTGCTCCTTCGGGTGCACAGGAGGGTATGTGACTAGTATCCCTGGGGCCTTCAAGCACCTAACCTTGTAAAGCGATCCGGACGTGAAATCAGGTGTCCTCCTCCATCGTCGCAGGTCTATGGCTCCCGTCACCTGTTGCGCCATCATGCTAAAGGTTTCCAAAGATGACGTTACATCTAGATTCGGCAATTGTCTGAAAGAGTAGTGCTTGGTGTCCCGTAGCACTACCACATGCTGCACCTCCCGCACTGAGTTGGCGAGTGTCCGGGACATGAGATTAGAGAAGGCTCGTGCGCACTCAGTAAACTCAAGGCCTTCTGAGACCTCGCCGCTCTCTGTCCTCGCGGCAGGCGCAGAGGGTTTCAAGTCTTCCAACCACGGCCATAAGTCGCGAGTACCGTGACTGCAGTAAAGGTGATGTGGAGCCCTTGGGCATCCCTGCAAAGCCGTGCAATCATGGCAATCCTCGATGAACAGGATGGGTGAGCCTTGGGATCCTGAGCTGCAGACCCCAAAGACAGATGGGTTGGGCAAGTAAAGCCCTTCGCAATCAAGTACACAGAAGTGCTAAGGCGAAGGACAGAAAGAAACAGCCCTACCCGGAGGCAGACAAGCGATCCAACCTCGTACTGCCAGCCTGCTGTCGATGACATGTTGATGCCGAGAATCCCTGCTGCAAGGTATGCAAACGCCGGGCAGTTGTGCGCCAACTGCCACTGACCAGGTCCCAGCAGGACACGGCCTTGCATGTTCAGGATTTGAAACACCAATGCAGCACCAACACATTAGGTTGTTTTGCCAAACCACCTGCCCCCAAAGTCATGCAGCACCATGCATTCCCGTGTGCATCCTACTGCCTATTGTTCGCCCATGCGGCCCAAAGACCAGTCACAAGTTTTCTCATGGATGAACATGGTTCATGGATTTGGAGCTTTGCGGAAAGGTTGCATTGTCCACTGATGGTCCCGACGACATGGAGACCCGAGCACCTACACAAAGTCTCCAGGTGAGAAAAGAATTCTTGGGGATGTGTAGTTATGTAGGGTATTTCTGCTTGGACAATTGTTCCTGTTTCTCGAAGACGTCCGGGTTTTTGGATTTGGCCAGGCGGAGAGATGCTGCAAGCAGTCACTTGCGGACCGGCAGCCGTTGACAGCGATGGAGGGAAGGGCAGGAGAACCACAATTTCGGGGCTCCCGACAAGAATTCCAGCTCTCCCTGGTTCACATCGCTCGAGAGTGCTTCGTTCCCCCGACGGACAGGACAACGAAACACTTTTAATTTTTCTGTCTCGTTCTAATTCGTTCTAGGTCTCTTCTGCCATGCGCTGAACACAATGAAACAGAACTGCCAACTTCCGAAAAGGGTGATTCCACTTTTGACGAAGCCGCGTGCACGAATCGCTGCTGGTAAGCCCTGCCTGTCACAGCAATGCGGGACTGCTTCATAGCGGGCTCTGTCACATCGAACTGACAAGCGAAAACGCCTGAGAGCTGTAGCGTCCGGCAACACACTGCCTGCAAGCCTCGGCGTCCACAACGCATTCGTGCACATGAAGCAGGCAGCAGCTGAGGCTCGGCTGAATCACATCTGAAGGCTATGCGTCTCAACTCCATGGGGCCATCGGCAGCAAAAGCAAAGCCGAAGAGACTAGATGAGCCTTCATTGCTTGTCTTGTTTACCACCGGCTGCTTCTTCCAAGCAGCTCTGAAGCCCGTCTGGTTCCGCAGCTCGTTCCATGTGCCAGGTGGGCACTGTATGCACTGTGCACCATCACGATAGTGTCCTGTGGCCGCAAAAGTTGGAAGAGAACGGCTTGCGGCTTTTGTCACAGCGTGGGGAACATCAACAATCTGCTCACCATGCCCACCCAGGCGACTGCGGCCTGTCGGACATGCACGAGGGGTGTGCTGCGGAGGCTTGCCGCAGCTCCAAGTCTCGTGGTGCTGCGGCTGTGCCTCATTGAATCTAATTGAGTTCATGGCAAAACCATGCCGCATCAGCGCGCGGATTCTGAACTGCGATTCCCTGAGTATACCCCCCCAAATTTCAACCTCCAGTGACTGCCGCAGAGCTGCGCTAGTCCAGTACAGGGCCCAAGCACGCGTGAGGCCATCATCCATGCTCTCTTGCCGCACTTGCAGCAGAAGCTCCTCAGCTGCCCCGGAGTCCCGAGATTCGACACTTGAGAAGAGGCCAAGAAAGCTAGGGCAAAAAAAGAAACTAATGCCATGAAGCATGGATGATAGCATTATTCTGCTTTGCAGTGGCCTAGAAAACATACACCCGTGTCATATCGTAGTGCCTTGACCGACCTCACTGCGCGTCGGATCTACGAGCAGCTGGGATTTGTCCTGGTGGCAGCTTAGCCATTTACTGAGGGGTCAGACGTGACACCGCTACGTGGACGCACTCGGCCACGTAAGCACAAAGCACAAAACGCAAGTTGCCATGCTGCTTAAACAGATGAACTATGATGGACCTTGAGGTGCGGGGGGGAACAAAGGAGGGGAAGGGGGGGGGACCCCCACCTGACTTTATGCGATATTGCTGTGGCTGTGACCTTGTGGTAGGGGTCCGTATCGGCTCTAAACCAATCATTTGAATGAATCATTTGCGTAGTGGCGCAGTGGGGGGCCTCCCCCAACTTCCCCACCTTTAACTATTGTGAAAGGACCAGATAAAGTCCTGCTCGCAATTTTGACCTAGTTCTCTACTACTTAATTATAACATGGTAAACGACAACTCCCGCAGGCTCCGCAAAGCTAGCTTTCGTGACATGGCGAGACATACGAGCTGATACAAGCTGAATTTTGTCAGGTTTCCAGTGCTTTGTCGGAGTCGAACATCGCAAGACCACCAGTGAGCAGCACTGGTGTCCAGGGATCGGCCGGTGAAAGAGGCAAGTGGCAAAGGATTTCACTCCTGAGAAGCACTGCAAAGAGTTGCATGTAGAGCCATCTGGCGCCTCATTCCTCAACTAAGGTTCCATTCAAGCTGGCTGAAGGTCGGCGTCCGAGCTAGCAGCAGTGCAGGAGAAAGCGGGATCATCTGGATTCCGTGTATGTACCTTTCCATGGTTCGCGATGAAAGCTTAACGCCTAAGACTTGACTTGAAACCTGCGACCAGGTCACAAAATCTGTGACTGCCGCCGAAAGATGCTGAAAGGCTGTCTAAATGAACTGCTGTCTGTGCCGGGTGGCTCGAACTTATTGCCGAAGTAAGTCGCGTATTGCGCCTTGTTCTGGAGCAGCATTCCCGGTGCTCGGTTCCTGGCCTGGGACTTACTCAGAGGAAGCGTTTATGCGTAGGATTAGGTGTTTTTCGCCCGGGCTGCATAGTCTTGTGGATGGTGCGGGTTGTTCTTCCCCATCAAGAAGAACTCCTGCACCGTCGTGGTTGCCAGAGCCAACCTTTGATCGCACGCATGTAAGGAGCAACAGGAGGCTGCTGACGTTCTGTTATGGTCCTTACATGTCCTTACCTGCAGCAGCTTCTGCGCAGATCGCACTCCCCAACACGAATGCGATGTACCGATGCGCATCCGGCAATCAACAAGAGACAGCCCAGCCACATCGTAGCACCCAGCTGCTGCAAATGTTCGTTGCCCATCTCCCTGCCCCACAGGTAGATACCGTAATGCAAATTGAGCTCCTCCTTGGTAGCTGCACAACTCGAGTAACAACTCGCGGCGAGGCACTGTTACTCTGGCCCCATAGACCCTGAACCCCGAAGTCCTGAAATCTACGCGGTGAACCATCTTTCCCAAACATGTTCACTGCTTTCTAGGCCCCCCCTATGGCGCGCATCATGAGCATCAGAGGAGGGCCCCGTGCTAGTCCAGGCCTTGAGGGCCCTGCTGATGCTCATGATGCGCGACCCTGCAGCGCGCATCATGAGCCCATCGTCGCGGGCGAAAGCAGCTTCGTTGGACCTGGGTCCGCTGCACCGCGGAGCCCAAAAACACGCCCCCGCAATGCGGCACGGAACATGTGTTTCGCGGCCATTGGCGGCCATCCCCCAGCTAATTTCGAGTTGCGCGTCCGTGCCGGCCACGCTGCAGGGGCGCGCATCACGAGCATCAGCGGGATCCCCGAAACGCGGCATCGGCGGGCCGCGTTACAAAGGCTTCGCCTTGGGAGCTTCGCCAAGATCTTGGCCTGCGGCCTGGCAGAAAGGGCCCGCCACGCTGCCCGACCTAACTGCCGAGGGAGACAGAAACATGGAAACCGCCACAACACCGATGGCGTAAGACGATGACTGGCTAAATCTTGCGAGCTTGCGCATGTAAGTGAGTGGGCATGCTTGCGAACAAATGATTTTGGAGGGTCCAGCTGCGGCGTACTCTTCGGTGCAACCAGATTATTTTCCTGATGTTTTGCAACTTCACCAGTTGGACATAGGCGCATCATGCGCATCTGATGGCAGTAGATGGTAGGAAAACGTAGCTATCGTGTGTCATTCTGCATTACGAAGTTGGGAAACATCAACTCCGTGGTGAACCCCTGCTAAAGCGCAAGCCCAGTTTCCGACGTTGACTCTTCGTCTTTGCCATCGGGATTGGGAGCAAGTCCCCGGCTCCAGGAATGTAAGTCGAACCAGTCGAAACTGCCAATGTCAAAGATGACTTGCAACTGCAGCTACTACATCACGAGACAGGTCAAACCCTGCCAGTCAGATCTCAAATCCTGTGACGAGCGGGTCTCTTGATGTGCTGCTCGAGGCACGATCTGAAGCGCGGAAAGAAAGGATCATCCCGGCTGGGGTTGGACGTGTCTCGAATCAGCCCGCTCACCTGGAGGAGATTTGTGACATGTAGGGTTCAGAAGGGGTACCCTTTAAGGGGTACCCCTAATAATACTAGCTACAGTAAAGACCAGGAGCCACTCAGGCCACACATGAACAGCATTAGCGGGCAGAGTCGCGAAATCCACAAAGCCAGAATTGTCTTTCCACTCCGGCTGCAGTTTGATTAGAACTGCTGCGGCCACGACGAAGTATCCAAAGTGGTAGTGGTGGTCGTTGTAGCAGGAATTCCCAAAGTCCGCAAGCAGGCAGTGCAAGACCTGATGAAACGGCTGACTGCTGTCACACTATGTACGTAGACCCCTGCCAGATGCAAGAAAGGATAAGAAAGGCTTCTTCCGTCATGCAGCAGGGTTTGCATTCGAGGCCTGGTTGTAGCCCACCCGGCTGGGCAGACCACGCCAGACTTCATCATAGTACAAGCCCCCAGGTGCCCCCACCTCATTGAGCTGATTTGGGTATCCAGCGACTGCTGGCACGACTGAACAGCAACATACAGCAGCTGCTACGTACCCTGTGCAGGCTACTCCATCTCAATCGTCGCAAGGGACACAATCCGAGGATGTGGACTCACCCTTGGACCGACTCAAGATGCACCTGCAAGTTGGCTACCAGCATGATGAAGACACCAGCACAAGCTGCAGATGGACTCAAGGTGGCACAGCTGCCACTAAGTGTGGAGCTCGAAGCCAGTGCCCAGCCAGCTCGCGCACGTTTCCATTTCCTGCTGCGTGAGAAGTTCCTCCGCCAACAGGCAAATCATCGCTACCTGCCAGGATGGCGTCGACGAGCTGATCTTTGCCCCATGACAGAGAGGCACATGCCAGCACCTTCTGGAAGCCTTTCCCGCTGAAGTAGAAATCCGACCTGAACAACCATAAGGGCACTAACACATGCCGCACATGCTACGTGAATCTGCGAAGACTTGGCGTCTTCTGCCTGCATATTGAAGTGTACACCCCAAGGTTGATGTGTGCCGCACATGGCTAGACTGAACGCGTGGCTTCTCCTTGAGGCAAGCGGCTTGAACATAGAATGGCGCCAGTTCGGTGGGTCGGCGAGGTTTGTCTCGTGCAGCGGCTGGCTAAACCAGCGCAGAGAAGCACGAGTCTCGTTGACGAGCAGCCCTCTGCGCAGCTCGGTGAAGTCGGTGTGGGGCAAGAAATCCAACCGAGATGTCCTCGGAGCTCGGTTTCTGCGGATGTCGAGAGTGGCTTGCTTACATCCTGGCCGGCCCTCGCACTGCAAACATCACAATCGACACATTGACACAGTGCTACCTTTTCGTTTGTTGAAGCCGGGCTCCACAGCTTTGCCTGCACCTCCAACCCTGTGTTACTAGAAACAAGTACTACAGTCAATGGGTGTAATACCGCCTCATGAACCTGACAGGGCCCTTCCACCGGAGTGACCTGCCATCGCTATGTCGAATGTCGAGGGTCGCATTGTACAGCGGCGCCTTCATGACCCAGGTATTGCCGACAACACCGTGCATAAGTCCCTTTGTTGGTGCCTGACCTCGGGATACAGTTCGTAAGGATGTACAGTTCTGCACAGACGAGAACTGCAGGCCTGTATGCTAGCAACCTGCGCCTAGCTGAAGCCAAAGCTCTTGCGCTGAGTGTGTCTACCACTTTGGCATTTCCATCGGGCTGCAGCATCTTCACGTGATGAGCCTTGCGCGGACATGGCTTCCCAAGCGCGAACCTGGCACCCTCCAAGAGCTCAGCTGCTCGATGCCCTGTCGAGAAGCATAAGCCCAGTGTAGCAACTGTCCAGACTTTGGCCTGGCCGTCTCAAACTTGTATCTCACCATGCCACCAGGTTCAACCTTGGCAATGCGGGGGGGCAGCACACAAGGACCTTCGATTGTGTTGCCGGCTGCTTCCGCCCAGCGTCTTTCAGATCCCATCCCACGAGGATAGTGGCAGCGTGGGCATCCAACACATCCACATCATGGCTTGCCAGAACGTGGGCACCACGCATCCAGCCGTTCAGCTGCTTGTTCATAGAAATGCAGTAGCCCTGGCATGCTATGTTAAGCTCGAACGAGCTGTCCACGAAGTCCAAGTCTTCCGTCAATGCGTACAAACGAATCTCGGCCGGAGTGTTGGTAAGGTGATGATGGCCTTCGTGATCAGACATGGTATGGAAGATGTCTTCATGAAGGCTGCAAACAAAAACCGCCGCGCCTGTCGTGACGCTCCAAACACCATCACGGACTTTATGCAGATGGTTAAATGGACGAACAACTCCAAAGCTTATTCTCTCCTGAGATATGCAACCGAGCCAAGACAGTGCGAGAAGGGTGCTCTGATTCCCGGCTCGTTCAGCGCCGGCAAGCCAACAAACTGCGCAAGCGAAGGACCAACATGTACTGTGGTAATTATTTGTGCTCTGCTTTCAAGCTGCTGTTGTGACATGGGGCGTCGCCCCGTAGTATCTGCCTGAAACATAGGCCATCCCACCTCAGCTTTCACCCAAGCGATTCGCAAATGCTTAAATACATGTCTGAAGGGGACTTCAACCTCAAAACAAACTTGTTCAGGCCCAATCAATCACTTTTTGTTAGTTTTGCAGTTGTCACAGTTCTGACAAGCCTCTGTAAATGGGGTACATCACCAATGTCTCGCCATCAGCTTGCTTGACATTGACATGGACGCCAAACAGGCCTGCGACAGCCCAAGGGCCCAATGTCAAGCCAGCTTCAGACTCGAAAGATGATTAATGTAGGGGCCTTAATAATTCGAATAGGGTTTCGGGGTCTACTAGACTATAGCTATAATAAGGAACCCCCAAAACCCTATTCTAGTTATTAATACCCTTACATTACAGTGGCGAGTCCAGTCCGTATTTCGTTGCTCCCCTGTCAAGGCCATCTCGAGCCCAAGGTATCCATTCCGGGTAGCGCACTGTGTAAAAAGTCTGTACCGACTTGACAGAAATGCGCCTCTTCCTTTGACTTACATGGTCATACCCCCATCGACACGAGCGTGCCTTCATAGAGAAAATGCTTAGCAAGCGCAGCAGGTGGCCACACGTACATGTCGACCCGTTGTTCGCTTTTTGTGTTGATCTGGTAGTGAAAATCCGGCCCCAAGACAGCTGTGCCCAGCACTGCATGGCCCAGCGTCAAACCCAAGCGACACATTCGCAGCACAGACAGCCGCGCACCCCTAAACAGGCAAGGGTGGGGAAATCCTTGGCCTTCCTGGCCAATCTCGAAGCTGGAGCTGACGCCTCTCATGCAACGCAGAAAGGAGTTGTGAAGATGGGACTCGTCAGCTGCCGGGCCTACGAGTTCTGATGCCCCAAGCGCAAACTCGCCGACAAAGGATGTCTGATACAGCTCGATTCGGGAACTGTCGCGGTTCTTCAGCATACCGTCCTGATGCCGGCTTAAACCCGGAGAGTTTTGCATATTCTCCATGAGCCATGTGCGTCATCAGTCATGTCCGATGTCCTGATACCAGACCCTCGGCTGCCTGTTGTGAGAGGCTTTCAGCCTGGGCTGAGCAGTGCGCGGACGAGGTTTAGACCAAGTGCCGCTCATGACCAATCCCTCCAAGACACTCATGTCTGTCTCCCAGCTTGAGGGCATAAGGCATCGGGTAAATCGCATGCATTGCTCCATCACCAGTCTTAGTTGATCATCGCATGGTTCATGGGTGAAGAAGTGCACAGCCGAGCACGCTCGGAATGCGAATCGCGAATCAGCATGCAAGACTTCGACAAAGACAACATAATGAGCCGAGATGCCATAGGGTCGGAAACGATCCTTAAACTGCTGTTGATATATGTGTGTGTGTGTGTGTGTGCGTGCGTGCCACTTCTCACATATCCTAACAGCTAACACAGAGATGGAGCATACCAGCAAAATTCTTGAAGCTGAATGAGGAACTTTCGCCGAAGATCCAATTCGCCCAAAACTTGTTCGTGCTTTTGGGTCCATGCACGGCGGTGTTCACCGGCTTAAGCCTTAGAGGCGATGGCAGGAGACAAGAAGCAATCCTACCTTCTGCTAGCTTTCTGCTTTCAAGCCACACATGTCCTGAAACATGCGGGAAAAGTTCTGAATTTGGCGTATCCGTGCTGATCGGCTGCAGCAACTGGTCGGCCAAACCTGACGCACTTCGGCGCTTGGGCGCAACTCCCCGTGTCAGGCACGACAGCTGCAAGGCCGCAGTGAGCCCCTGGCAACTGGGCAGGTTAAGCCCAACTATCAAAATCAATGAAGCTCTGCCGGTGCACCTTGGTGGAATCACAAGGATTCACCCCTGGCTGAGCAATCCAAAAGTGTCATCACACCGACCGCATGAAACTCACCTACCGAGCCTAGCCGTGGCACATGTCCTCTACCAGGTGCAACAACCATCCGGCACGCTCTGGCTGGCGTGACCCAACTAAGAAACCGATGTGCCGATGTAATTAATGATTACCGTCTTGTGGCTGAAGCGAACCATGCCCTTTTCCTCGAAAGCCTATGTGTGGTCCCTCCGGAAATTCCGATTGCACCGCTGCATAAACATGACTAGAAAAACTTGATCAGTGGAGCTTGGAAGAGCATGCCATGGGGTTTCTTGTGCAGAACCCCTCAAGCAGCCCGGAGGTTGCATCTATGAACTGGTCAGGTCATGATGGCACACGTCGCGGGAGCCCTGGTCATGACGACGTTGAACCAGCCTCCGTAGCAGCTCTCTCCGTGAGCTGCGCCTCCCATGCTCGAAGCCTTTGCCGTCGAAGCAAACGGACAAGGCGACACTAGCATGTGCATATGTGTCTGCAGCTACATGCACGTCTCTCTACTAAGTCCGTGGCATTGAGCGTATCCAAGCCATCACTGCATGAGATGCCGCGTCGAGTTTCCGCTGCGCCTCCGAGCACCAACATGCACCGAATTCACACAGAAATATAGAGCCGTTTGGCAACTTCGCAGTTTCTTGGACATGCTCGGGGACCGGAGAAGAAATGTTGCAGCCCGATCCTCTTCTTGCTCCTTGTCGCGCTCATCCGGTTCCGACCCAAGGACCGCGGCTAGCTTTGGCCCTCAGAGGCGGGAGACTTCCGCTTTTTACGCATGCCCTTGCCGTCTTGGCTTCAGGCCGTCATCCTCCGAGTCGCTGTCATTGTCGTTGGGCTCCTTGGTGCTGGTCGCAAAGCCAAGATGTCATGGCGGCCCCCTATCTCCCCCAATTCCCCCGCCCCACCCCAGTAATGCCGCTCGGCCTGGAACGCCTTGGGCCCTCAGCTTCTCAGTTTAGTTCCCCCCCCCCAGTTGGGTGGTTTAGGCCTTCCCCAATGGTTCTGCGGGTGGTCATGGCCCCCTCCTCTCTGGGGAACGGCTTTGGCCTTGAGCTTCACAATTTGTTCCCCCCCTTTTGTGGAATGGTTGAGGTCTGAAGGTCCGTCGAGTCGGACTGGAGGCTTGCAGAGGCCGAAGGTTCAGTCTGCGGAGTTCAGGTTTCAGGCCTACTCGGGGGGGACACAGCGCACGACCACATGCATTGAACCCTGCGCTGCTGAGTCTGGAGCATGTCGTGTAACTGTGCCCTCCAGTGTGGCAAATTCCGCGTCCTGCGCTGGGGAAGAGCTGAAGGCGATAAACTCTTATGAGATGTGGCAAGCGTGGTGGAATGTGACAAAGCTGCACTCCGAGCTGACAGTTAGTGTCAAGCTTTCAACAGCCTTCAACAGCTACACTCGTCGTACCCTCCGGCCGAACGTTCGTGGGCTTCGCAGCTGAAGGCCATGGCAGGGAGCCCTAGTTTGGTACAATAGTGCGGTTCCTACTCGTCTAATTCCACCAGCCGCCGCAGGCAAGGCGCAGCATGCAACACCAGTCCTCTGCGTCAACAATGTCGACGCCTTGTCGAATGCCACCTGCCGCCTGCACCGAAGGCAAAACGAGCTTCATCAAGCTAAAGGCGGCACTGGGATGTGCAAAAGTGCTACAGTAGCTGCTACACGACGCCAATAGGAACACTGACCCGGTGAAAAATCACGCCAACTTCGCGCATCGCCCGGCACCATCCTGCCAACAAGCTTCACACGCTTCGGTCTTCAGTTGCCTCTCGCTCTCTTTGCTGACGGCGATCCAAGATCTGCATAACCTTGACTTGCGGGGCTTGCAATGGAGCGCAACACCACCTCTCACCTTGACGAGATAAGCCTAGACTAAATACGATGTGACAGGCCTCGCTTTCATGGCTCGTGCTTCTCTTACTTGGATTCCCTTCGTGATCAGCCTCCCCTTCGCCCGATTGTGTGGGCAGACGTCGGACACAGAATCGGAGAACCCAGTGAAGACAATCAAGACTCTGCTTCAAACGAATGCGAAGAAGTTTTAGCGCAAGGCATTCGTGGATCCATCGGCCAAGACGTCCTGATGTTACCGAACTCGGTGTATGCATGTACATGACTGCATCGCCGAGGTTGCTGCGAGGCCTCTTCAGCGGCAATTGTAGGCGGAATTGGACCAACAGCCGAAGTGTTTTGCAAGAAGCGCAGGCTGGCAGAACTTCAGCTCAATGCCCCACCCCAACCCTTGAAAGAGCCTGGTCACGAGAAAGCTCGCAGCTCTGCAGCCTGCGGGAGGTATAGCAGATTATGGCTGTATGGCCTGACGGCGTGTAACAGGACGCAGGTTACAAATGAGAGCACTGAACGAGACTGAAACGAATTGGAAACGAGGATGACACGGGTGAGCTGTGAAGCAATTTGAAAGTTACTTAGCCGACCAAGCTGCAGCGGGTTTAGCATTTTGGTCGGGATCTCACGCTTCAAAGGGCTTGAGCTTAAGGTGCCGGGTCCACGTTGTACGCACGGAGATAGACTCCAGGAGTCACCGCGACTCCGCACCATTCCGCAGCCTGGTTCGCCTGCAGAGACGTTCCGCGCATTCCTTCAATGCAGCACCGGCTGCCTCCTCCATTTAGTATGCCTCTGAATTTCGGATATTACGGCTACGGCTGAATTTGCGGCCTAGGCAATATCCAAAACCGTCGGAAGGACAGAGGAAGAGAAGTCGGCTCGAAGTTGTAGCTCGATGTTGTAAGTTATAGATTATGGTATAACAATACGTTATATATATATATATATATACATTACGCGTGTGTGTTCAAACTGGGACCAGTCAGATGAGGTTCAGAAATAGTGACTAGTGCTTACGGTTGGTGCGACAGGCACATCCAAACCCAAAAGCCGACATCAGGATATTGCCGAGGTGATGCCGTAGGGAATCCCTGCTACATGGCTGCATTAAATGAGCCTTCAGCATTACGAACGTCCACACAGCACAAATTTCAAAAACGAGTCCGAATAATCCTCTGACAACACGGTGCCTTCGGAAACGCTGCGCGTCTGTCTCCGCGAAGAACGTAGCAGGCCTTGCACGCGCTTGTGTTTCGTGTGAGTAACCTCACCAAGCTCGGTGTACCCCCCCTACGCTTGCGCATCTTCCAAGTGAATGTAGCTTTTACCGGGTGTTGCGCTGCCCCAGTTCACGAAGTCGCCGCTTCGTCATCTCCCTGTCCTTGCGGGTGATCTCGTCCTGCCAAGTGAGCGCTTGGGGAGGGGAGTATTGAGCACGGGGGAGGTGGGATGGCACGGCGAGGGGCTGCGGATGTGGGAGTGCATGTAGCTACGGTGCAAACGCGATCCTGTATGAAGTGCTCGGGCACGGCTGAGTGCTTGTTGTGGCCTTCTACAGAAACTGCTGACGGTCGTCGTGCAGTTCCTTGCATTCTTTCTGCTACAAGTCCTTCGGCACCTCCCAGCTTCACGCGCGGGGGCACACCCTAGCAGGCCCTAGCATTCAGCAGAGTCTGCATGGTCGCAGTCCTCATCGTCGTCCGAATCCGACTTCGCTGCCTCACCCGCCTCGTGACCGTTTGATTGCAAGAGCTGGGCTTGCGTGCCTTGTCCGAAATAACTTGCCAGATTACCCGCTGCCATACCCCGTGTTGGATAAAGCACCATGCGGCAACACTGCTCCTGACTGAAAACTCCGGTCTGCCAGCCCTCGGTGCTTTGCAACCGACGGTGGTAGAAGATTGGGCAGGGCACGTGCAAGCCTGATCGCAGTTTCAGATCGCTGTTGCTTGTGGATGAGGTTTGACGCTGCTCACATCTCACATCAGCGCAACCATATTGTTATACGCATCTTCTGATCCATCCAGTGGGATGTGGGCGTTAAGTCAGCATCCGATGCGACGAATTGAGACACATAAAGCGCTGCGCCACATCTGTACATGGGCATTGCAGCCATACTTTAGCTAACTTCGCGGCCGCCTGTGCCCGCTCATGTCAGGACTCCCATGACAACGTTGGAAGGCGCTTCCCAGTCATGGTCGCCCGGGTGGCTGAACTCCAGCCTATGCAAGGTCAACACCGTCAACACCCAGCATCAACAGCCTGAATAAAGAACCACCGGCCAGAACAGGTAACCGTCTACTCCCCTCTTTCCTGAACCGAGAAGTCACCTGAAGATCTATTCTCTTGCCGAGGTGCAGATGGCCTGGCACGTGGCATGCATGTGCTGTTGTCTTGAGGCCCACAAACATCGCTCAAACTCTGCAGAACCTTGATCTGTCATCCCCCTCCTGTATCGGCTCGGCTACGGCAATGGCTTTGATAGCGGCATGGCAGCCGCTGCCAATCCTCGTCCCCTGGGTGCGAGTACCTTCTGGCACGCGACCGAAACCCGGAAAACACTGCCTTCGGAAGCCTCTGTCGACTGCCTATGCTTCCAGGTTGCTGTGAGCGGTGCTGGCGTTTCCGATCATAGCACTTGCCTGGAGGCAGTTCTCACGTGAGATGTTGGGGTCTGCCATCGGCACTCATCGCCTCCGTATCTGCAGGAGGTCCGTCTGTGTCCGGCAAGACGCATTCCATCAGGTGTCGTGAGTCCATCCTCGAAGGCAGACTCTGAGTGCAAACGTGCTGCGACCGTCCTGCGTTCACTGAGCTGCCAGGCGTCGTACTTCGCATCAACGAGCCGAGGAGTCTGAAGGAGTTGCGACCAACTTGCACGAACGAATAGCAAGGACCTTCGCAACATCCAGGGAACGACAGCCACGCACAACATCTGCAAGCTTTCAAGGATGCTGCGAGGAAACTTGCAACATCATAGTGGCGAGCTCGTGACCCCAGTTTCTGCTCCTGCCAAGTAGCCTGTAGAAAAATCGCCGTGCTGCAGCGTGGGCAACGGCCACAGCTTGGCCATGCAAGCCATCCAGAGCGACACCTTGCCTTAGTCATCGTCTTCAGTCCCGTCTGCGTCACTTTTCTGCCTGAACATGTTCGAGAATTCCTGCACCATTCCTAATGGAGAATTGAAATGGAGAATTGAAAACCATGCCAGACCCCAAGACCCTCGCCTGAGCTGCAATCCGAAATTGCGAAACATTTGCCTGGTGCCTGTCACTTTCCATTTCAGACGGAGGCATTTCTATGCACAGAACGCAATAACTTCGGGATGCGCGCAGAAGTCAGACCACAAACTCACGAAAATCCCAATTTGGCATACTGCACACTCTGTCTGGTAATTAAGTGCATGCTTCTCAACGGGGGGATGCGTGGGTCGGTCAGCAAGACAAGAATACTTGAAGTGGCGCCCCAACTACTTTTCAAGCCTGTTTTGACATGCAAAACATGCTCCCATCATCTCTCCAACTTCTGCTTCTGAGGTGATCTGACCAGCGCATGCAGGTAAGCACATGCATTGGTGCACGCATCCGAAACCCGAACGATGGGCTGTCGCTCAGTCCAATTGGTTCAAAGGCACTGGAAAGACCTCATCACATCATCGGGCTCAAGGAGCGGGCAGGCAATCTGACCTGCTGCTCGGCAACTTCGGCAGCACAGAGCAGGTGTTTCTGATGGCTACATAAGGCTACGAACGGCGAGCCTGCCACGGCACCGATCGTGTCTGTGTCACCACCGACGTGCAACATCCGCTGCAGCCAGCCCACGCAAGTTTTGGCGCCGGCAGCACACCAAATGGCCATAATAGTCTGCAGGGCTCCAAAGACTCCAAAATTTGTTTCTCATTCCTTCTTCACCTACGTGGACTTGGACTGCTCTTCTTGAGCATCTTCTTCTGTTCCCTACTTATTTCTCTCCCGTGTATATGCTGTATGCAGCGGCAGCCAGGGTGAAGAGAGGGCAAGGATCCAAGGGTACAGAACCAGAAACAAGCGTAACGTGGAAACCCTGAACGTGAGCATACGTGAGCAGTCGATTCTTATTGAACACCGGCTGCACGAATTCATGCGTTTAGGTCTTCCGAGTTGCATGTTCGACATCCATCCGAACAGTACGAGTCTCTTCTCCGACGGGGTTTGCGGGGCAAGACGGATTACCGTTTTCCAGCACCTACAGTCGTATGACATGGCTCATCGAAGAGATGCGCAAAGATGCTGGATGTTGTACCGGGTTCTCAGAGCGTGAGAGCACAAACAGTTCACTCCTCAGTCGATCCACAGAAAAAAGCGAGGGGTGATGGTGGGCACGTGGGGGTGGAAGTATTCCGCCACCCTCTAACATTCCCTAATTCCCTCTCTGTTTGTACCCTCGGCGAAGACTTAGGTGCTGTCTTGTGCACTCAACTTACAGGATCCTAGGGCAGCTGACAGCAAGTGCCGGCCGTGTTCATGCCACGCTGACTGAAGCGAACCAGGACGTCCGGGCGCCCCTCGACGACAAGCCGATTCCCTTGTCGGACAGCATCCTTTGCAAGCCGGAGACAAATTGCTGTTCCATCCAAGCTCCACACACCCGCTGTCACGCCGAGTCTCATCGTCAAAGTTGGCAGCAATGCCTTGTCATCACCAGTCCACTAGCCACTACTGGTTCATTCCATAGCTATCGGACTCATGTCGTTGAGCTTCTTGGCAGCAGCAACAACAACAAAGCACCTGTGTCGGTGGAGCTCGGAAATGCACTAACTGGCACTGCTCAGGCGAGTGGCGCAGCATCTCGCCGAAATAACCAAAAGGTCCTCAAGGGAGCGGCTGAGGTCCTAAACCCTAGTGAACCCTAGTATGCTTTGCATGCCTTCGGCTGTGCCTGGATGAGTCACCAGCTCGGACTCAGACGGCGGCAAGTTGCCCCTTGATTCATGACAACAAGGCAAGTGGTTTCCTTGTTTGGAGGGGAAGCAACAAACGAGCCACACTCTCAGAGGGCCGAGGTTCTTCGTGATGAGCGTGTGCAGGAAGGAGTTGGCAGTGTCAGCCTCCGAGAAAAAAAGGCATGGTAACACTCACCGGTCCCGGCCCCAGGGGCCGCGTGGCCCACGTGGCCCACGTGGCCCGGCCCGGCCTTGCAGTCACCCGACCTGCCGAGGCGAGGCCCCAAACAGAAATGGCGAGTTCTCGAGGCGTTAGCTTTGCCGAGGTGCTCCAAGAATTCTCGAAAAGCAGCACACGGATAAACATAGCCGTCCTGGAAGTCGGGGAAGTGACTAAGGCGCATCTATTGATCTGCGAAGCCTCTCACACGCTGGTGACAGCAACATGCCACAGGTGGGCAATGGCCCCAGCAGCACGATCCAAACCCGTGAGTAGAGAACTCACACCTGGTGTGGGATTGTCTACATGGACCTGTTACCACGTCCTGAAGCTGGTTCAAGCGTGCAGTGCTCTGCTTCCATGCCGCGCTCTTCAGCACAAAACGGCCGATGTCCTGACACTGACACATCGGCTTGGCTCAGCGATCCAAGCTGGTCTTTCTGGGCACGATTGCCTTGCCGCTTTTCAGCTTTCGCTCATGGATTCCACCTGCATCCGACAGCGGCGGTGAAGCAGCGCACGTGTGCCAATTTCGAATGGGCTGGCCGGCACTGAGGCCGTTGCGGAGAAGTTCGGAAAGCAGGTCCGCTGCCAACATCGCGGACGCCTGGCAAAGCTGACATGCTGAGCAATGGATAACCATCATGCGGCGGCCAGCGTCGACTTCAGGTAAAGTCGTGCGCAGAGGCTCTGTCTAGTTGTTCGCTGCCAGCCTCACCGTGAGTGCAGCACAGCACCTGGGCAGCAGGTCCTGTCCAGAACATTAGGCTCCACAGCACCAGGCCGCATACAGTGCGACAGCGCATGGCAGCATCGCACGCACAGACATCAAACAACCGTCCTGCTCCAGCCATCTGGAAGAGGACCTGTTGTGCTCAGACTCTCATCAACCGTACCGACCTCGTTTCAGATGAATGCTCCAAGGCCTGCGGCGTCATGCTCATAACAGCTCCGTTCCCAAAAGAAGGGAAGCCACCCGGATAGTTTCCACTGCAGTGCTCCTCCGGACGGAACTGTTCCAAAAGCACTGGCTACGCTTGGCTTCTTGCCAGACCTGGTCTGCAAGTCGAGCAAAGAATCGGCATGCCCCACTGGAACAGTCACCATACCGTTGCAGCATCAACAGCCAGTCTTGTTACAGGGTACTAGCGCCAGGCACGTGCGTTCGCGACACCCGCTCCTGTGCGAATTTGAGGAAATCCTCCTGAGCCGTGGAACTTTTGACCCTTTGGAAAGTAAAGACAATCATGCAACGCAGCATGCATCTGGTCTTTGGCCAAGCTTCTGTGGGCCAGTAGTCGCTATCTGGCTGAAACAGCTCGATCTTTAGATGACCTTGTGCCAGCAGTCGAATCTAACGAACAAAATTGGCCAAGCGGCCCAAAGCGAGATCAAAGTCGAAATGCAGCATGCGGCCAAGACGATTTCCTCGTGAAGGCTTCAGCAAGTCTTTCCTCGTGTGCGAGTCAGAAGCAACTATCTGGCGATAATTTTCCCGGAAAGAGGGCCGAGCACACCCTTTTTCGTGTGCTCTTTGCCAAGACTGTTGTCGTGCTTGTTGCCACTGCTAGTCTTGCAGCGTTGCTTGTCGTCGTTGTTGTTGAGGCTGTGACGCCATGTCGACATCTTCCCCTACCCGAAAAACAAAGACAAACTATCCCCCCTCCTTCCACACGACAAAAAACTACGGCGAACCCATGATACACACCTTTCTTGCATGTTCTGGGTACGCAGACAGCAGGATTGCTGGCTCTACTTTCGTGTTGCCACTGCTTCTCCAAGCATCGTAAAGCCGCCAAAACCTTGAAACAGTTGGCCACCACTGCCATGGGCCCATGCCAGGAATTCCTGCATCAGAGCCTCAGAAAATGACATGTAAGCCGGGGTGACGCAGCCATGCTTGCGGATGCCTCGAAAAGTCTGTTCTCCGGAACTTTCATCGCGCCGCAAGTCCAAACGACCTGCCGAATGAATCCACTTCTTGCGGAGACTGCCTGTCCGTGAAAAGATTCGCCACTGCTTGATGTCATGAGCTTTCCCTGCCACCCAGAAAACTACAAAAAAGTGCAATGGCCCATGACGACTCTCGCCTTGGCTATTGCATGCATCTTCAGATCGGTGCATACGGTGTCGTCCGAGTAGCTCCGACAGAAGGAAGTCCCTGCCAAGGCAACGATGGTACAACTTACGCTTACAGCGAAGGGTCGGTTGAATTTGAGGAGTCATTGGACGAAAGCCGTTCAGACAATTTTTCGGGTAGCTCGAAGTGTTGTCCTCCATATTGCGCTCCCTCCTCCGTCTTCCAACCTGTCGGACGCCACCGTCTCGGCGCTTGCCAAACCCGAAGTGAGCGTGTGACTGACGATAGTGGATTTATGGAAAGATAGGGCTGCGGTCAGTATCTGAACTGAGGCTGCGGGCCAGTCCGGGCTGCAGAATGTATGTCAGCAACAACCGATCTAGGCCAAGCCAATGCAAATACCAGATTCCCGCAAAAATGGAATCAAGCAAATCCCAGGAGCAGTGTCGCACAAAGAGTGCGGCCTTCAGCAGGAGAAAGGCGCGAGCTAAGGAAAGGCATCACATCGGACCAGAACCTTGCGGCAGCCGACTCACCTGAGCTTTTGCCAAACCAGGCCGTGCAACACCGTCACAATGAAGCAAGCATGCAGTTAAGCCGCCGGATTCTCCCTGCTGTATAGCGAATCTTTCTCGATTCTTCGCATGTGCGTGAAGCCTTGCATAGATGCAGCACTTCCACAACTGGACTACCCCGAAGTCTCAGTTTGAGTTTCAACTCTTTATACGTACGTGAGGATGGCCCACGGCCTCTCTCTCACGCTGTGTTGCTATCGCAATGTGTGCCCGCCTGGTCACCTGCAGATGGTGATTTGTAACTTGCTCTGCCACACACCCACATTAGTCGGACGGGGGAGCTCCGTCCACCCAAGCTCTCCCCACCACCCCAGGAAAACTTACCTGCGTTCGGATGCAGGGACAGCTTGGGGCGCCTCATCTCATGTTAGTCTTCATCTCCTGATGCAGCGGGGCAGAAACCTTGGCCTGTACGGATCATCTCATCCAGTTTTGTACACCGTTCCATGTGTCTGGCATGCTTGGCACCACAATATCCAATGTCATTTTCGTTTACCTTGTCGTCGTCAAGTTCTGTCAGTCGCGGCTCGTCGCAGCTACCCTTGCTAAGCATGTGAGTGCGCAGCTTGTGTTTCAATGCACTTCTACCATGCCATGAAACGTTTCATGATGCGGGGCTGCACCTAAACATCGGGAACCACGCCGCATTACCAACCAAGTTGTGTCTCTGGTCGGGGATCATGCGCACTGCCGGTTGGGAATGTCACATCCAGTCGACCTCCAGCCCCTAGCAGCCTCTGCCTCCGACCTGGGCTCGGACCTGGACTTCAATGCTTCGCCCTCACATCACCATGTCTGAAGCTGTAAGTCTGCCGTGTCCAAAATAAGAGTCGATCATGTCTTGCAACTCAGCAGCTCAAACGGCAAGCCAACCGCATCACCGATGGCTGTCCCCAGGAGCCCCAGCAGGGCAGATCGCTGCTGCGGATTGAGCTTCCTGCAGTGCGTCTCCAAATCCTGTGGCCAATCTTGAGCGAGTAGATTATGTAGATGCAGTTGCGACGGCACACGGCAGTGAGATTGAATCAACAAAGCCTTGAAGGATGGTTCGGAGGTGCTGGAGTCCAACTCCGGTGGAGGTCGAGGAGACGAGTTCCCCATGGCTGCGAGGCTGGATGCAGCAGCGTCAGTACTTACCGTAAGGGTAGTTGTTTTCGGTTACTGCTGTCGGCTGAGAAGCAGCAGCAGGAGTTCTCTAGTAAAAACTCTTGGCCTCTTGGCTGCTGTTGTGCTGTTCGCTGCTCTTCTAGGGGGTGTCACCCTGCAAAGCTGAAGACTGAATTCGGGCGTTTCCTGCGACATGACTTGTAGTGCCGCACCGGCAGGAAAGCTGCACATTGGGCAATGGATGGCAAGAACACGGCCAATGCAAACTGCATCAAACGAAGATCGCATGCGAGCAGCAGCATGGATACGCGTGGGCTAGGAAAGTTCCAATCCAGTTACGCCTACCGCAGCCACAGATAGTCGGCTGAGCTTTCGACTGGAACGAGCCCAGGTGCGGGGCCGATGTCCTCAAACTAGCGAACTGAACTCCTGGCACTACACGAAGCCAATCTCAGGGACCTCTTTTGGCAATCCCTGTGGCCAGCGTCGGAAGTCCACGACTTCGCCTTAAGCACAGGCACGAACACGGAAAAGATGGCAGCCGACATCACGTACACAGCAGACTGATTTCACAAAGAATCTCTCCTACAACATACGTTGTCTGCTCACGGCTTCGCAAGTTCATTGCTCCCATCGTGCATGCAGATAACTTTAGCAGCTTGGATGGCGACGGGCCCGAGCAGCATCGACTTCGTTCTGGCGGCTGACCTTGCACGTAGCACATGACACGTCTGCCACTGCTCCAGGGACGCGTGTCTCTCTGCTCCTGCCGATTCCCCTTGCCTCGACTGCTTGTTCACGAAGGTACTCGGTGGCCCTGTCACGCTCCACATCACCACGCTTGCGGTACTCCTGTGCCAGATGCTGCGAAATTTAACTCAAGTAGAGCCACTCAACCACGGCCGGGCTTGCCGGCATGTGAGACACACATGCTGGTATCATGACCCATAACACTGTTTCGCCTTTGGGGCTGCGTTTGGACGCGCACCCCGCAAAGAAGGCAAAGACAGCTGCGTCGGTAGCTCCTGCATGGTGTGGTGAGCTGTCAATGCTCACAGCGCCAAGGCCGCGTCTTGACCGACTCTCGTGGTGGAGCACTCGCGCACAGGTACGGGCAGCGGCACTTTTCTCTCGGTCAAGGCGCCGCAACTTGGAAGAAGTCACGGAGACCTCAGCCGGCGCAGCTATGAGACCCGGAGCCAAGACAGCCTGCCCCCTGAAACGATGGGCTTGGGCAGGATGTTACTTTAGGTGTAGAGTTTGGAGGCGGCAACAACGCAACTTTCATGACTGCATTGCCTGAAAGGCAGAACTCAGCGTTTCTTTCGCTCCGGATAGGCTTTCACAACCACACACGAATTAGGCGGCAACAATGCAACTTTCATGACTGAATTGCCTCAAAGGCAGAACTCAGCGTTTCTTTCGCTTCCGATAGGCTTTCACAACCACACACGCATTCTCTTTGGAAACTTCCGGAAGCTGCCCTCACCTTTTGCAAAATCTGTCGAGAAACCATAAGCGGAAACCAACTTCCTAACTTAGCCCTAAGTTGTGAGTTCGCTGCTTAGGTGCAACGGAATTCCACAAGTTAGCTTTCGGTCTCAAGATGTTCCAAGGATTTCGGCGTGTGCCGCAGATGATCTGGAGAGCGCAGGTTGGCGGTGTGGGTGGCAAAGAAAACGAAGCTGCAGCGAAGAACACGTCAGCTCCGAGAGACTTTCGGATCTACATCCTGAAACACTGCCGAGTCTCAACACCAGCAGCGCTGCTGATGGCCACCCTGGTAAGCACTGTAAATTGAGGTGTTAAGGACGTTTGTTGCAAGACGAACGAGCAGCAAATGTACTATCTGATAGCCCGTTATACAGTACTTCAACTGAACCTCTTCAGGTCAGTCCTGATCTGTTCTTTGAGTGAAACCGACGAAAATCAGTTTGGCCAAGTGGCAAGGTCTCTGATTCCACTGTATTTGGCAATCTCAGCTCCTTGACCCTGGCAGCTGTGAGGGGCATGTTGCTCTCGTCATGCTTGTCCTGCTCTTTGGCAGTCTTGATCTGCAATTCGCAGCTCTCTGTCTCCCATGCGCGACACCTGTTCAGCAGGTTGTTCTGGTATGACTTAAACCTTAGTTGGCGCTGGCGACATTTACAACAGAAGCAATGACGCAGCATGGCGCAGCCTCGTGCAACGGACGTGCTAGTCACCTAGCAAAAAACGATGTATTCTCAAGGGAACATACGCTAATAACAAAGCAAAAACCTAAAAATTCGAATCCAAGCCCATGACTTTGGCAAAGCCGAGCTGCAAGTGCTCCCGGAAAGCTCTGCACTCTTCTTCGGACCTTTCACTTGGCTGGGGACCAGTAGGTTCAGGGAATGGCGCAACTGTAATGTCTGCACCAAGCACCCGCCAACTCTGCAACACCATCTCGTCATTGTTAGCACCATAAAAGGACCGTGGCCGGATCAGCGGCCTCGGCCGGTAAGAAACCACCCCGTCTGACCAAAGGGATATGACACCAAGAGGGGCCTGGCATGCTCCAGTGCATGACAAACAGTCGCCCTTCCTGTCTGGGCGCAATCTCACCAAACGCCCATGGAAGAAATTGTAGCACGAAGCATCCGCTGGAAGACATAAATTATCGCGGTCAGCCCAGTCGATGTTAACGTGAGCTGTTCTTACCAAAGGGATGAAGCACCGCAGTGGCGCACTTGGAGTCTGACAGTTCCAGAGTACAATGTACCCGGCCGCGAAGCCAGCAGCCAACAATTCGAATTCGTGTGAAGGACACCAAGCCACGGACATCACTGTCTCGGCATCGAGCAACAATGGTCTAAGCACTTCGGTCGGCGCCTCCTGTAGCGGCGATCCTGAAACCAGTCGCCAAAGAAGCACCACGGATCGTTCACAGCCGGCCGCAACAATGCAACTGCGCGGGTCCCTTGGGCTTTCTCGCGCGGCTGCGCATTGTACATGTCTCTGCCAAGCGCTTGCAGGCTGCGCTCCTGCAGGAAGCATTCTTGCCTTCCAGAACGGCTTGAATCTGGCAAATAATGGCTTGTGAAATATCGGTTTCTCTTGAAACACTGACGTTGCCAGGCTATACAGACAAAGCTCCCCGGTTGACAGTGCGGCCAAGAGCAAACCCAATCTTTTCTTCGTGCGCTTGGATGGCAGCCACTGCAAGCCACGCGCACTCGCAGCATCGTGCACAACTCCCAGTCGCAGCTGTGCAGACTTTTCTGGGCTGCTCATATCAATGCGCCAGAGCTGAATGGCCGCAGCTCCCGGCACCGGACCTTCTGCTGCCACGGAAGGCATGGCACGACTGTTGACTGCAAGCGCGAGCACAGCCATGTCGACAGGTGGCGCCCATGCTGCCGCAGAGATGTAGCATCCAGCATTCAGCACGGCCATCTTCTCACCTGGAGTAGACTCCCAGGCTGGAGAAGCAGAGCCAAGTGGTACTTCCACTGTACGTTCGCCATGTTCGCCTAGCTTCAACGGACACGGAGGCACAGACTGCGGGAGCAGATCTGCCAGTTCACCTTGTGCAATAGCCTGCCTGCACTCATTGACATCCGGCGCATCAACCTCGGGCAAGATGACGCCCAGCAGCTGCTGTTTGCATGCTGAGCTCTCGTTTGGCTGACCCTGATATCGTGGCCACTTTGGCCGCCACTTCCGGCTTACTTTGTGAGCTGCTGTATTGGTCGCGGCGCTCATTGCTTTCCGCTTCTTGGGAGGCATTCGCAATCGACGGCCGCTTTGCGCCTCGCGACCCAGTAGTGTCAGTTATCGCATTCCTCAGACCCGAGAGTAGCAGCCGGCAAAGCCCTCCAAACATGCAGAATGGCCGTCGTCATCAGGGGCATCAGACCTGCTCCATGTAACCTTCTTTGGAATCCGTGCTATGCAGCTCCCATAAGACTTTACCTACCCTACCCGCAGACAGGTTCAAGGCCGACGGCTGCTGCACGGGATTCATGCAACTATGCCAAGTCCGCATTTCCATGATACTTCATACACTTCATGCGTCCGTTCGAAAATGCGTGAGTGTGCTGACTAAGTCCCAGGGCAAAGGACTCGTGCCACGACTAGAATACCCTGCAGTTGTACGGCAAGTCCTTCACGGCATCTGCGAGCTCCGCAGCGCACATGAGAGATGATACGATGTCGAGCACCTTGCAATCGACCTCTGCATCACAAAAGCATTCGGGCACGGGTCCTCCGTGACGAGGTGCAGTTCCAGAGCAAGTTATTCATTAAGAGGTGGACCATGCTAATTACCTATGCTTCGGGGGAGATACTTAAAGAACGGAAAATGAGGGAAAGAACCGAGGCGCTTGAAGATGGAATGCCCTGTGCCTCGAGCTCTTACGGATGATGCTTCAAACTTTGGTGTTTCTAGCTCTGGGCTGTTCAGGGGCATGATTCGTCTGTTGAAAGCGGGGCATGAAAGTGTCAGTCTCCGAATTTTGACGATGCGATGCGGACGTCTGCTGAAACTCAATACACCAGGAATGAAAACGCCGCAAGCTTCACAGCTGCAGAACCTAGACTCACAGAGCTTATAAATGTCCATGTCGCTTGTGTGGGAGGGTAGGTGAATGCGGGTGATGAATCATGCTTTCGATTCATGGCGGGGTCTTCGTGACGAGCAACGAAAACAGCACATTTCTGGACATGAAGAGAGCACTTATGTATGACAGACCAGCTCTTACTGCCAGTACCAGGCCAGGAGCACTGGCCAAAACGATGGCTGAGAGTTCAACCGGAACCATTGGAGTTTAATGGGCCCTTTTCGTGAGTGTCTTTCGTTTCTCAAACCCAAGATCCGACGCCCGTCCAGACTACAAATTCCCGCCCCTGTACTCAACCTTGGTCTATAAACTCCGGCGTTGCAAACCAATATACTCATCGCCAAGCTTCTCAAACCGGCTCTGCTCTTCTATACCCAGTAAACCATTCAAACATCAAACCAGTCATTCACTACGCTAAATGGCTCTGTTCTATCAATGATTTAGGTACCCTGGCCACTGAAGTATTGACCACATGGGCTGGCTGTGTCATGGCTACACTAACCAAGCTTTGGGAAATTTGGAAATCTAAATAACGATTTATATTTGGGGGCTCTACCAAGTCGTTGTCATCTGACCCACGAAATGCATAAGCTCACGTATTAATCAACCAAATTCTTGATGGGCTGCGATCCTTACCGTTCACAGGGGGCAAATCAATGGACTACGAGTTTCGTGATATTGGGCGGCCTGGGACACGCACAGGCAATACATCACGATTCTTCGTGTGCACATATACACATGTGTGTGGTGTGTGTGCGTGTGTGTGTGTGTGTGCGCGCGCGTGCATCTGTCTTTTCACTTGCTTGCGCATTGATCTTCATCTGTCGAACGGTCTATCTGTCGATCTTCTGTCTATCTATCTATTCGATCGACCTATCTATCTCTGTGCACATGGTGAATGCATGTGTTTGTGCACACGTGCGGACACTTGCACGTGCATAGATAGATAGATAGATAGATAGATAGATAGATAGATACATAGACAGCTGGATACATAGATGGCTGGATAGATAGATAGATAGATAGATAGCTAGACAGCTAGATAGATAGATGGCTGGATAGATAGATAGATAGATGTATATTAATACTATTTTCAACCCTCCCCGACGCATATACATATACATGTATATATATATAAACAAACACACACATGAATAGGTTCATATTGTAGGCTTTTGTCTATTTACTAGATCTACGTGAGCATGTGCGTTTGTGAATACTCATGTGTTTGTGTTTACATGTATGTATGTATGTATGAATGCATGTATGTACGTATGTATATACATAAATATGCATAGGTGATCATAGGTGCATAATGCACATGCACACACACACACACAGATTTCTTCGCACTCACAAGTATAGCTCACGAGTCTAGATACAGATGTACACCCAAATATGTATGCACGATAGAAACAGGGGAGGAGACAGATGCTGATGAACAGGCAAAAGAAAAAGCACAAAGAGAGCATCCGAGAACACAACAGGACACAGCAAGACCAACGTCCAGATACTCTGCGGCAAGTGCGGCTGTGTTTGCTGTGGCGTCATCCGTCCATGATGTGACTTAGCTGTATATCTCCTAGCCATGTTTCCCCATTGTTTTGTCCTTGAGCAAGCTTAAGAAACTCTCTTCTGAGCAACCGTCAGATTGCAAATCGCAACCCACCAAGCGCTGGGTGATGTCTAGGCCATTCCACAATACCCGCCACAGCGCTTGCGAACGGTTGCTTCGAAAGCGCTCCTGAGAATCACGTCAATTTGTACAGCACCTGAAAGAAAACATGATATTACAAAACTAACAGACTAACAAACTCGGCAAGTTGCGAACACCAAAGAAGACGACCACGGCGGCCGGGCCATCAATGCATCTTCACAGGCTTCTCTGCCCAAGAGCTGGACAAGGCTGGCAGTTAGGTCAATGCCAGAGACGCTCAGGACTGATAGGCGACCTTTCGGGCTCAGCACCGTCTGCTGCAGACGCTCTGCGAGCTGAACAGCTGGAGATGATTCGGAAAGCAGAGCTTGGCAGACTTCCAACTCGCCCTTGGCAATAAGCTCTGCTGCTGCCTTGGGCGACAGGCAACCGTCAGCATTGCATGGCAGGCTGCCATGGTTGCACCATCTGGACAGAAGGTCAGCACCAAATTGCATGTCTTCAAGTGCAGGCTCTATCTCGCCTCTAAGGCTTGTTAGGGTCTCGGAGCTTTCCAGTGTGGTGATGGACACCGTGGCACCCTCCCCAACGTCGGAGGCCAAAGGCAAGAGAATCCCCAGGGCCGTCGCCAAGGAGCGCTTGGTGTCCACGCTCACAACGTCGAGCGTGGCCTCGGCAAGCCTTTCGTGGTACTGCCATTGGAGGCGCCTTCCAAGAAGCACCGCTTGCTTGAAACCATCGGATGTCAGCTGCTGGGCTGCGCAACTTCTGCCTGCCCACGGCTCGCCTGTATCTCCGCCCTCTCCCTCTGCAAGGAGATCTGGCTCAAAGCTTCGGTCCAAGGCACTGCCATCCTCAGCCACGGCTTGGAAATGGACTTGCTGGTTCAGGTGCCAGTGCCGTGGCAAGTCGGTCGGGCGACAGTCCCAAGTGGAGGGCGGCCTTGGATCGTCTGGCCAACCTTGCCTTGCACTCGCTTCTCCGTGGCTTGCCATAACCAAAGCACTTTGAAGTGTCCAGTCCGCTGGCTGTACAGATTCTTCTGCCAGAGCCATTTCCGCCAAGCAGTGCTTCGAGAAACGATCGAGACGTGGATCTTCTGATAGTAAACCATATTCTAGGGTATTCGGCACCTGCAGGGAGAACATGGGAGAACACAGACAAGAAACTCAAATCGCTCTGGAAGTGCTGGAGTGAGCGCCTCTAATTGCCACAGAAGCTCCAGACTTGCTTTGATCAAAGCAATTGCGACAAGGCTCAACGGTATGGCCACGCAGGCGGGCCTCTGGCAAAAAGCAGCAAAGATCAGCTGAATGCTGTCTTGCATCTGTTTACTGAAGTCGTCAAGTCTTACGAACGCCGGGATGACCCCTGAAAATCAACCGAGTCCTGAAAGGAGGGAGTTCAGCGGCTTGGGCCTCTTCCGAATCCTCTTCCCCAACACGCTTTCGACACTACCAGCATTAGCAGCACATCATAATGGCCATTTCAATCATAAGCTGGGGCTCTGCTTCATTGATCGGGCCAGCGCACGTGAGAACTCCATGACAGATACGCCAGATACGCGGTCTTCGATGGAACATGTGCTCTCCCGTTCTCTACTTCGCGAACTGAATGTACGGCTTTGGCGAAGCCTTTTGCAACTCTGTGACTTTATGTTGCCCTCAAACCACAATGCGAAGATGTTGTTGCCAAAGGTGGGTTTCCCATGCTCAAGACTTGACCTGCATAGTGCTTGGATCCGAAACGGCAGGAAGCTTGCAATTACACTTGTAGCTGCAAGGGCAGAGCAAACCGTCAACATGGAGAACAAGATTGAAGCTCAGCCTCCTCCAGCAGCGGAGTCAAAGCCTGCACCAGGGCCTTGCCGAAGCATGCAACATCTACGGGCATTTGAAGCGTACGCGTGCGAGTGCATGCACCATTGCACTGAGGGTCCATCCATGCACCAATGCAGGTTCGACAGCAGAGGAAAGAAGAGGCATCTCACCGTTGCGTGCAGCTCAAGGCCGGCAAGCTGTTTCCATGCACGAGGGAGGCGCTCGAATCCTTTGGAGCCGTTTGTGTGTGAAACGCACGTTTACTTGGTGCCTTGAGGTCGAAGGGTGACCTTGCGTGGTCATTGCCGGACGTATCAGAGATTCGCCGTCGATGGGCAGGCACGAAGGCGTTCGTGATCGACGTATCGGGCGTATCTTCAGTGGCTACAAAGCTTGGCGTAGTTGCGAATGCATCTCAGATCTGCTTCAAGGGGATGCTGTTAGTGCTCGCACCTTCAATGCGCAGTCGTCTGGCGATGATGGCATAACATGCAGTCATGACAAGAAGTTGTGCAGCCTGGGAGTCAGGGCGGGCACCTGCCATCAGTGCCAAGTCGGCGAAGCAGGCGATCCAGTCCTTCAGATGTCTCCTGAACTGCTTGGGAAGTCGGGTCTGCTTTGTCCGTGACGTCCTCTACAGTGACTCTACAGAACCTATACGTCACGATGCAACAACTTGACGCCCCCGACTGATGTGCAGTTCGAGATTGCTTCTTCAGTGGCCACACACGATGAAATTCATCTCACGAAAGTAGTACGAGGGATTCCGTATAAGAGAGCAGAACAACCACCACAGCACTGCATACAGTTGCAGACTTTCTCTGCAGCGGTGCACGTGTCCCGGCTTTGTGTGCCCAGCAATGCATGGGAAAGACTTGCAGGATAGCACCCTCTCTCCTGGAGCCAAGAGTACCATGTTAAATCACTTGGCAGCCTAGCCTGCTCCCCCACAGAGGCCGGAAATGAGAAGGCGTTCTAACGCCCCGGTCATCTCAAGGCGGGTGCCGCCGTCAGTGCTCAATCGTGCGGGAAAAATACAACAAAGCGTCATGCATCAAAAGCAACATGGCAAGCAAGTTAGCGAGCCGAACTGGGAGGGCATTCGAGTCCCGTGGCCGAAGGTTTGCAAGAACAAGGCACGGTTGCAAGAACATAACAAAATATCATCACTTCTACCAGCTATGCGAACTCATCGTTGCAAGCCAAGTGTCGCATCAGTAAGCTGCAAGACTAGCCTTACAAGTCGCACTCGGCACGGAAGCTTGGTCAACAAAGCCAGAAAAGAGCAAAATACCAGTTAAGCACGCTTCCGTTTCCTGTGTCCACAAACACCGGCTGTGTCACATCACAAAGCTCCGAGCTGAGGAGCTTCTGCAGTGAACAAACGTGCCAACGCGCATCTGGCAGCAGCAAGACGAGCTCGAGCCTGCATCGGGAAGCTCCACCCTGTGACTGTGACCAAGGCTTGACTTCCCTAAGAGCCCCCAAGTCGCAGTACAGAGAAAATATTTCAGAACGAAGCGACGGGCGGGAGCCTCGCCTTGAAGTCTCGTCGCCTTGCTGGGCTTCCAAGGAAAACCTTCGAAGCAGACTCTGCTCTTTCTCCGCTCTGCGCCACTTCGATTCTGCCCACGAAGCAGTTGCTCGCTCCCCTCGTTTAGACGTATAGTCCACCGAAAGAAGGCACAGCAGACTTGTAATTTCAGACGGAGAAGCAGCGCTCGGCCGGGATTGATATCCCTCAGCTGAACCTTGCCCAAATACATGAAGGCAAACGGGCAGGTCACCTGCATTGCACAACAGCTCTCGCATTGCCGTTCTGCATCACTGCCATTGACTATGGTCGGCAGGCTGCGCCGTGCCTGATCGAAAGACAAGAGAAGAAGCGGGCCACACAGGGAAATCCAAACCTGAGATCTGGCAACGGAACCTGGGCTGCCTGTACCGAGAACAAAGAATATATGCACAGGCTTCACTGTCATATTCGGGCTCGCACACTAAATCGGAAAATGCCTGGGGCGAGGGGGGATCTGCGCAGCAAAAACAACAACACATTGTCGGCCATGAAGAGGGAGATGGGTTCATAGCTGGAGAGAAATCCCCGATCTACGACTAACACCCCTGAAGCTTTGCAATGGCAGGAGCGTCTGAAGAGAAGTGCATCCCGGACGTAGAATCTTCCATGGGCACTGCCTGCACAGACTGGCAAAAAACAGCCGGCACGTTGACTTCGAAAGCCCACTTCCCTTCATGCCCAATTTTTTGACGTCCAAAGTCACCATAGGAAGTCTGCAGAAGCCAATGGCAGAAAGGCAAAACAGAGAACGGCAGTCAGCAGCGACCTTGGACCCTCCTATGTGCCTTCATGGCGTGGCTTATGGGGGCGGCCACGGCACTCTGCGCGATGGGAACTCGCGCCGAAAATGTACCCTCACCTTGGTCATCTACATGTAGCAACAAACGACTGACATCCTGAGACGATTGCTCTGCGCCGTCACAGCTCTGAATATCTAGAGCACTCGAGAGATCTCGAAAGGCAAATCATGTAAATGTTCTGACATTTTTATCAATACCTCGCAGCAGCCCGAACACGCCACACGCTTCCTGCTACGTCGGCACCAGACGAGACACAGACGTATCCAAGCGCCTCGTGAATGCGCTCCTGTTCGATGGTTCCCTGGGCTGTCTCGTTCACGTGGGACAGGAAGTCATCGCCAACAGCATATGCCCATCCCTCCACAGATGCCTGACGAGTCGTTAAGTCGTGAGTCGCGAACAACTTCTGAACTGCCGACATCGGTGCAGCACGTCGCTGCATTCAAAAGCCATTCACTTCTGCAGGGGCACCACGCCATCGAACAGCGATGTGATACCAGCTTCACTCTTCGGATCGGGGCCTTTGCACATGGCACCAACTCCAAGAGGGAATCCCATCGAAAAGCGACTTCTCCTTGCATCTCGGCCGCTCCGCGGCTTCCCAATCTGCAACGGCTCCCATTTCCAATTGCTCACCATCTGACAACGGAAAACGAGCAGAGAGATCACATGTCCCGTGCATTCCGTAACCTTTCCACAGCCTGCGGCTGGGCCCAGAGCTTACGTTTCTCATGAAGTTCACTCGCTCTTCATTGCCACATTGCTACATTCAGCCGAGTTCCTCACACGCAGGTTAACGCTTTAGACTGTTCATGCGGCAAAGGTCAGAGGCACCGCAGACTCTCTGCATTTTCATCGTTGCATTGGGCTGTACTTCTTGAGGTGTCCACTGAGAAAGCCTACGGGCTGTTTCACGTGGCCGCTTTCTCTCTTCCCTAGCATGGCCAGGCCGAGCCACCAAGTGGCGAATGGGGGGGGGGCGGGGGGGGGGGGCGTTGGGGTTTAGAGTCTCGGCGTCCGACAACACTTTCCACAACTGCCTAGCTCGACCCACAACACTATACTCATGACTGAATCCGGAGACAGGCGGACGCAACATCCCGCTCAAAATATTTTTGCATACGTCTATCACCAGATTGCCTCGTAAATGGGCGCCAGCACCATTGAGGAAATGATCCTGATCGCCCCAGGTCCAGTATTCGCAGCAAGGGACATACTATCATACTGCTCTAAACTGGAGCTGAACGGCTGAAGGAATCGCAGGCCTAACACCAACCCCTGCAACTGCCGCCGTGGCGGCTGATTGTCTCCGGCACGGTGCATGTCCTTAGCGACGAATTTGAGGACAGTCTTCTTGACTGCGTTTGCTCTAGTACAACGCATTGATTTCAATGCACGCATATGCATGCAAGGTCAATAACAAATGTTATTCATGCAACGCCAAGGAGCAACCCAGTCCTGCAGGAGCACACGCTGCGAGTCAGGGAGGTCAGCGTAGTGGTTCCAGTGCAGCATGATGGTCTCAGATTCCACGGCCAGGACAGACAGGAATGCGCTACCATGCTCACTGTCTTCGGCATGTGTCAGCTATTTCTACATCAGGATTCCGAGAAGAAAAGCTCGTGCAAAATGTCCACACCGAGCAGTTGCCTGGGCAACACGTCTTGGGCATGGCAGCATGGCTGTCAGAAGCGCTGCTTTCGGTCTGATCGCATCAGCGTTACGCCCACAAGGCTTGCCCCGCCAGCTCGCGGCCGCTGCTCATCAGCGGAGCTTCTCTCCTCAAACAATTCGATTCTGCGAATACCCTCTCGACACAAGTTCCTGCTGGTGGATTCGGCAGCCTCTTGCATCAGCTGATGGGCTAGCACGGAAGATTCATCATTGAAGGCACGGCTCGTTTGCGTTCTGAGGTGTTGGCGCACCCAAACCTCCAAAGTCCAGCAAAGCAGACAGAGTGTCGGAGAAAAATCGAGTGTGCCCAAAGCAGTCATCCGAAGTGGTAAGTAGGCCGAGCTGAGCCATGCTACTTTGGTGACTGCAGAACTCGAAACGGAAGGACTGCCTCCGCCAAGCTCCACGTAATGCGGTCCAGGCACCTTTCATTTCTCAGGAAGGCAAGAGCCATCTGTCGAGTGTAGCGCCAAGCCCATCAGCAGAGACTACTGTTGCACAACCCCATCTCACGCAAAGTTGAAGATGCTGCACGGACATGCCGGCTCCTTCATGCCAAGTTTCTGCAAGTCCCACGGAAGGGCGATCTCCGAGAAGGCAAAACACAATGCTGCCATCACCCCAGTGTTCACAAAGCCTCGGTCTAGTTGCAACAAAAAGTATGAAATCATCGGCACCTGAAGCAAGAGCCCAGACGACGACAGAAACGCCAGTTCTGCAACTTCAGAAATGATGTTTCGAGTCCTGCTTCTAGCTACACAATGCACCCCACACACACACACACACACACACATGAGAAGCCGCAATCATGCAATAGCTTGTGCAGCCCAACAGCGGATCGAGTTCAAGTACTCCATCCGCAATATCTTCGCAAGCGAGAAGTCCTCGCTCAAGTACCTAACTTTGAGCTGCTCGGGATGGCAGTCTGCTCTACCCATCACGCTTAGCCTGCTGCATCGCGCGCGCACACGCGCGCGTTCAACCTCCCCAACA